TCGTTTTAGCTCCCCGGGCACTAAAACGATTTGTTCGGGCCGAACAAATCGTTTTAGCTCCCCGGGCACTAAAACGATTTGTTCGGGCCGAACAAATCGTTTTAGCTCCCCGGGCACTAAAACGATTTGTTCGGGCCGAACAAACAAATCGTTTTAGCTCCCGGGCACTAAAACGATTTGTTCGGACCGAACGAATCGTTTTGGCTCCCGGGACTAAAAATGATTTGTTCGGCCCGAACAAATCGTTTTTAGTCCCGGGAGCCAAAACGATTTGTTCGGCCCGAACAAATCGCTTTACTGCCCGGGGAGCTAAAACGATTTGTTCGGCCCGAAGAAATCGTTTTTAGGGCCGAACAAATCGTTTAGGCCCAGGCCTAAAATGCGTGGAGATTGATGTGGGGCTCAATTCGCGGAACGTTGGTGGAGGAAGGGCGCGGAAGGACGGCGGAAGGGTTCCGTGATTTGGATGCCTTGTGTGTGATGTGTTGTTCTCGCTAGCCGCGGTGTGTCGTGAGGCTTCACGTTTGCGGTTGCAAATCTATTAGGATTCGCGTTTCAGCGTCGTTGTGAGTTTGGGACCCATAAACCATTTGCTACAGCTGTCTGGGCTCCACTGAGCTCCCGGACCTCCCAGGATACGAGGCAACAGTTGGAGGTTCAAGCCCCGTCAAGCTGCAGCCTGTCAGGGACAGCAAAAACAATTTGCCAGGCCCGCGTGAATTAATATTGCTGCAGTGATCCTGTTGGCAAACGCTTTTCACGAAAGCAACGGGTGGTGGATGACAAACTCAATATCTAGTTGTTGGCTTGGCAAGAAAGAGACGCAAGCCGCGGAAGGCGCGGAAGGGAAATGAGAGCGCGGAAGCAAACACCCGCAGCGCGGAAGCACGCGGAAGCGCCAAATGATATCATCGCAATTTGGCCTATTGATTTTGATCACCGCTCAACATGTCCCTCATGAGGGGGGCCCAAAGAATCCTGTAACAGCATTCAGCCAAGTGGCTTGTTCACGCGCAGATTTGTAAATAGAATGCGAATGTCAGACGCAGACATGTGTGACAATGGCACGCGCCCAACAAAGTTGCTTGCGGTTCTTGCAAACGCAGATGGCAGAAAGAACGCCGGACACATGTCACCAAGTGTTGTGTTGCCGAGTGGTCTGTAAAGTTGCTAGTTTGGGTTCTAAGCTAAGATTGGTCGTTCCGGGCCCCTGGTGTAAGCTTCCCATTCTGAGTCGAAGCAAAAGCGAAGGCCAGCCATCTACCAAAGGCCAGCTTACACGGAAACCTGCTGAACAGGGTTACAGAATGGAAAAGCGCAGAAGAGGTCATTTCGACACATTGAACACTGCCAACACGACATGAAGTGACGCCCGTTAGCACATCTTGCCGTCCGGCCCAACGCTGGCGCGAAGCCTTACAAGTTCGCGTCTTGTGTGCTTGTAACAGGGGTGAAAAAGCGGGCTGGCTTGGTCTGACACGGGCTACTAAAAGCTGCTTGCGCGGGCAAGGAACCGTCAATACCAAGCGATTTTGCGCGCGTGCCCCTTGCAAACTTTGTCACGTGCGCGTTTCACGCTTGACGCGTGATCGTGCTTTCCTACGAGCAGCCCAAAGCTGACACAAGCGTGTTGACGCGGGATCGCAGCCGGCAGCCTTTTCGAGATGCAAGTTTGTCAAACAGTGTGAAACTCTTTCTAAGAGAGCTCAATGCCGGCTGAGTCGCGTGACAGGAGCCGAACAATCCGGCTGCAAAGGAGTCCTTCGCCGCAAAAAGCGTAGTCGGCAAAGTTATACGGGTGCAGGTGTGCAATTGCGCAGAGATTGCTCCTCATATGTTCAAAGGGTGAGACATTTCCATGTCTGAACTCTAGCGACCCGAGTCCCGCAATCTAAAAACTCTTTTGGATCAGGCTTCCGTTGATATCCCAGGTGCTAGTGTTACACTGAGCATGCTTTGGAGGTCACCGAGCGTACGTGTTCCGGCGAAAGACCGCGGCTTTACTTGTTCTCGCAGCGCCCTTGTGGCTTCCCGCGGCTGCTTTGCTTAGCAGAAGCGGCAGGCCGTCCTTCGCGACGCCTGTGCGAAATATGCCAGATGTTCGTTCGAGGTTGAACGGCGTCCGCCGCTTGGAAGTGGGTGCTACAGGAACACGCTTCATTGCAGGGCATGTGACCACCCATGCCTTGATCTTGTCTGACTGTTCTCTGCTTTCCACAGTGAGAGGTAGGTCTGCCTTGGGAACATGACTGTCGCGTGTGGAGGTCCATTTCTTCCACGCGTGCGAGGACCAAACATCTACAGCGTGCCTTCTGGCCAACACGTGGGCCGACGGCTTTGGGCGTGATGCGCGGGAGTACATCGCAGTTTTATGTTGCGCTAGTTTGGGCAACAACATAGCTCGAATTTCAGCTTCAGCGTGCTCTGGTGGAGACACTGAGTTTGTCTGAGCCAGTTGCGCATTTTGTCA